GGAAAAAATCTTGACTGGCAAGAAACTGCAGAAGATAATCCAGCCAAGGTCACTGCAGTCTTCAGAAACACAGAACATAGCACATGCAATTCACAGGAAATTCTCAGTGAGGGATCAGAGGACAGAACCCACTTTTCTCATCCTTCTAACCAGCAATTATCTAGCTGACAGTGTGAGAAGGGCACAGAAAAGTAGTAGCTAACACCAGTAAACCAGCAGTCAATCACTGCCACCTTCTCTTTCTCCTAAAAGAGAGCTTCCTACGTTTATCTCTAGAGGAGGAGGAGGGCATTAAAGGGTAAAATTAAAAAATGGATTCAGATTAAACAAAATATAAGAGCAGAAACATCGGACTGGATGGACCTTTGCATGTTTCCAACATACCTTAGATATTAAAAATTGCATGCTAAACTGTTTCAATGTGACTTTGCATTGAAAGAGCAAACTCAAGGTCTATCAGATCTCTTCTCAAATTACAATAAGTAAGGACACTCAAGGACACCAGTGAAAGTTACCTTTGAAGTCAACCCAATGAAACCCTCACAGAGAAAAGCTGTTTCATATTCTCTATTAACATTTATTCTTTCCAAGATGGTTGTAACAATTACCATATGACATCATATTCTAAACAAATCTAAATATTACTGAGGAGTCTTAAGCGGTACACAAAAGTATTTTAAAATATATAATGATATTACAAAACCCTTATTTACCCTGCTTAGTTTTTAAATGCATTGCTTCCTAAAAAATCCAGGGCCACGAGTAGGGTTGCCAACTTTCTAATTGCACAAAACCAAACACCCTAGCCCCGCCCCAGCAGTTACTACAGTCCCCCTCCCTCTGTGGCTTGCTCTCCCCCACCCTCACTCACTTTCACTGCTGGGGCAGGGGGCTGGGATGCGGGAGGGGGTGAGGGCTCTGGACTGGGGGGTATAGGCTCTGGAGTAGGGCCAGGGATGAGGGGTTCAGGGTGTGTGAGGGGGCTCTGGGCTGGGGAAGGCGGCTAGAATGCAGGGGTGCAGGCTCTGGGATGGGGCTAGGGATGAGAGGTTTGGGGTGCAGAAGGGGGCTCTGGGTTTGTGGGGGTGGGCTCAGGGCTGGGGCAGGGGATTGGGACGTGGGCTTACCTCCGGCAGCTCCTGGTCAGTGGTGCAGCGGGGGTGCTAAGGCAGGCTTCCTGCCTGTCCTGGCACTGTGGACCATGCTGAGCCCCGGAAATGGCCAGCAGCAGGTCCGGCTCCCAGGCGGCTCTGTGCGCTGCTCTCAACTACAGGCACCACCCCTCAGAAGAGTGGGTGCTCGGGGCAGGGGCAGCGCCCAGAGCCCCCTCGCTTAGGAGCCAGACCTGCTGGCCGCTTCTGGGGTGCAATGCGGTGTCAGAACAGGTAGAGACTAGCCTGCCTTAGCCGGGAAGCACCACTGATCGGACTTTTAACGGCCCGGTCGGCAGTGCTGACTGGAGCCGCCAGGGTCGAAAACCGGACACCTGGTCACCCTATCCATGAGTGACCTTCTGGGTTGGGAAGTGCTATACAAGAGATCTCCATCACTGATTATAGAAGTGGAAAAAACCTATTAGATTATTTTGCCCATCTCCTATTAAGAAGGAGACATTGACCTACTACGCACTTGAAAAGCATCTCAGCAGCTGCACAAGCATGCTGGGCACATAGCTGATGAAACAGGGAGAGAACTGGGATTAAGCTGCACTAAAAGAATGGTGACAAAATGAATGGGTAACTGAAAACCAAAGAAAGTCACATCTGGACTGATCAAGCGCCTTTTGTTTCTGCTTTAGTGAGTTTTAATATGGCCTTGCTTGGTACCAGGTAGGTAAAGGAGAACACAAACTTGGATGCCTGTATTTCATATAACCAAGGATTCAGCCACCAACTCCTTCCCTTCCCACATGCACAGAGTTGTAAACTACTTTAGAAACAGTAAAGGCTATTTTATGTCTTCAGAGAAACAATTAGAAAGAGCTACTCTTCCAAAATATTTTTAACAATCTCTCATATATCATGCACCATATACCCACTGCATCTGAACAAATTCACAGGTAAGCTGCCAAAATAAATCTTATACTACTGGAGCAGGACCGCATGCACTTGTTTGTTTATG